ATAATAAAAGTAAAATAAACCCTTATGTAATGAGTACTCGGGAGGTTCTGGGAGGGATCCAGGTGGGAGATGTTTTCTCTTCTCTTCTAAGACTGTTATTTTCCTACTTGATTTAACCATTGTTTCCCTATGGAAATTGAATAAGATCCGCTCCTGACAGCTCCCTCCCTCCACCCACTTCAAACAAGGAAGAGAGAGACTCACAAGAAGGAGGGCAAGGAGGAGGTGGCTGAATTCTGTGCTGATGGCTGGGATTCAGGACACATGCCAAGCAAGGGGTTTCTGGAATGGACTTTCACTAAGAAGCGCCAGGGAAGAGGAGTTCACCTTAGGCTCCCCGTGGGCAGATGCCACCGTGTGCTGGTACCATCACAACTGGCTTACCACAACCCAACCACTGTCCTGGGCTGGGGACATGCCTATGGCGGGGAGGGACAGTCCGAGACCACCTCTCAACCAACCCACAGGCTGGAGGGGAGATGCAATCAGGAGCCAGGGCCAGGGTGTAACTAAGAGGCCAACCGTATGAGCTGGCCATCCGTCTTTTCATCTCCACATCATGTGTGAACTGCCAGGATACCAGCAGCTGTGCAGACCAGGCCTCAGGACGGAGTACAGCAGCGTGCTAGGGCACAGGGTGGAAAAGCAGAGCTGTGGGCCAACAGAACAGGCTCTGGTCACCTCCAGCTCCCAGCCACGTGGCCCTGGCCTCACCTCGTAGTAGAGGATGGAGACAGCAATGTGGCCGCCTCGAGGTGAGGAGGACTAAACATGCTCCCCGTGCAATGGTGGGGTGCCCACCACCCCGCAAATTCCCTGCGCACCCCTGCAGCTCTCCTGACACCGCACCAGGGCTGTCCCTAAGAACACTAAAGTCTCCCCAGACTTAACGTAGAGCCGGGGGTGACGAGCCAGTAGCAAACCACTGGACCTCCCCAACACGGGGTTAAAATAAACACTTTCCCCACCTCTTTGGCTTCAAAGTAAGAAGGGCAAAGTGCAGGGGGGGGGGGCGGGGGGAGCACTCCAGATATCTAGAGAGCCGTCTTTCCTCCCCACCTCCTCAGCAAAGGGACGAGAAACCCAGGACAAATGTGGGAGCAGAGGACAGTGAAACCACCTCTAAGCTGGCATGGCGGTGCTCATGTGTCGCCCAGCCACATCAAGACCAATGCGACACAGCTGGGCAGGGGGTCTCTCTCTCCCCTGCCCCCCTCTCCTCCTTCTCTCTACATTACCAGAAAAACTGACGGAAGTAATTTCTGTCTCTTGTCCTGGCTTAGGCGGGTAATTGAGACTACGCCGTTTTAAAGGCGGTGTGTTGATTTGGCTACCTGAACCTGCGGTTTTTCCATGCCATGCCATCCTCTTAATCCTGCACCTGAAGCCAGGCCCTCTCATCCATCTGAGGGAAGAGCACCTGGAACCTGAGCAAGGATGAGCATGAGTTGGAGGCCAGACTGAGCTAAACAGCAAAGCTTGTCTCAAATGCAAGTAAGACATGCGGCCTGTCTGGATGATCTCCCCACTTAAGCGCCCAGTAACGCTGAATAACTCATTCTGAACCCCTGAGACCTGGAACAGCAGCAGCAGGTCTGGGTGGGGGCAGGTAAGCAGTATGAAACACTTCAAGACACACAAGAAAGGGAGCGAACCCAGCATAAGGCCTGATGGACAAGGTGTGCAGGCATCCTTTATGGATACCCAGGAAGATGCCATAATCCCAGACCCAAGGAAGGTCTGGTACTGGGTACTGCCCACTCTGCCACAGACCTGCAGATTCCCAGTTCACCTGGTGCTGGAGTCACACTGAAGCTGCTTCTGCTACTGAACCTTCACAGACACTGTTCCAGGGCTGCTCCTTCTCCACGCTGGGCTCGGCACATTCCCGCACCAGAGGCTGCCATACAGCCGCCCATGTTCTGATGGTGGCTCTGTTGAATGACCAGTTTGAACACCTCTGGAACCTAGCAATGCATTCTACATGTTGGTACAGGCTGACCCCAGCAACCATAGTCCAGGATCCTGCCCAGACTCAGTAAGCTGTCATTTCTGAGTCCCAACCAAAGGTCATAAACCATCTAAAAGCCAGCCAACTCCTCTCCCTCACAAGGTCCCAGAATCTGTCCAGGTGGGACGTGGTCACCAGTGCCTATGCCACCCTCAAGCAGCTTCAGCCACACAGGTGACCTGAACGTCACCAGGAGCTACCTGACATGTCTGGCACCTTGACAGCTCACTCTATCTCTCAGTGCCTAGGTCACTCCCCCCCAACCCCCCCACCCCACCCCACCCCCGGTCAATCAATACCAAAGCTGCTCTCAATAAATCAGGTCTCCTTCCACCATCCCCCTCCCCTTCTCTTTTGAGACATGTAGCTCTAGCTGGCCTGGAACTCACTACATAGACAAGGCTGGCCTTGAACTCCCAGAGATCCACCTGCCGCTGTCCTGCAAGTGCTGGGATTAAAGGTGTGCATCACCACACCTGGCTTTAACTCACAATTTTTTAATCTTTGTAATGTGTGTGTTTCTGTGTGTCTGTATGATATATGTGTGAGAGCAGACACGAACAAGCCACAGCATATGTGGAGGTCAGAGGACAACCTCATGCATGGTCCTTGTCTTACACTTTGTTTGAGACAGAGTCTCACTGTTTGTGGCAGCATATACCAAGCTAACTGGCTCGCAGACCTCCAAAAACTCACTGTTTCCCTCCACCTCCCATGTGGGTTCCAGGGATTTGAACTCAGGTCCTTAGACTTGGGCAGCAAGGGCTTACCTATTGAGCCATCCTCCTGGCCTCACTCATGATTTTGTCTAATGGATGTTTAATAATCAGCTCCCAACACTAGGCCACTGGCTCTCATGCATCGAGACTCACTAACTCCAGCACAGCTTGCCCAGAGCTCTGTACAAACCCATCAGGACAGACAATTCCTGGGAACATACTCAATCCAGGGGCCCTGAAGGAAAGTGACCCTGCGGACCTCCACCAAGGCAGACACTGGGGACACCAGACAAGAAGCTGGGCCTGAGGGAGTCTAGGGAGACGGGAAGAGAACCCCGGACCACTCACTGTTTATGAGTTTGAATCTGTGGGGACTCTGGATCCCTCGGGGACCAGACAGGGACTTGTTGGCCTTCGTGGGACAGGGTGAGAACAGAGGCCTGACGCAGCAGCTTGCAGAGGCCAGAGAGGATGAGGAGGTGGAAAGCACGGGCTGGAGCCCTGCGCCTTCCCTGACTTACATCAGGCTGATACTTGCCTGCTATTGATTGAGTTTCCTCATCTGTAAAACAGATTGTCTTCCCCACCTAATTACCAGGGCTGTTGTCAAACGAAGAGATAGGGGCTGTGAAAGTACAATATAAACCTAAGCTGTTATCACCTGTCTCTAGAACCACCGCTTTATCTCTCCAACAGTATCTAAGATGATTATATTCTTGCTACCCTGTACCTTCCCACTGTGGAAGCTTCCAGGGCTCTCAGCTCGTCACTCAGCCCTCCACGTCTACGCAGGGGTCCTTCCTCTTCTGACAGCCTGGGACCCATGTCCCCAAGGAGCCCAGCAGCTTTTCCCAGCTTGTTGGTTTGTTTGTTTGTTTGTTTGTTGCGGAAGGAGCCCAAGGCCCTGCACGGACCAGGCAAGTGTTCTACCACTGGGCTACAGCCTCAGCCCCCTAAAGTTAAAACCTGAAACAACACAATGCGGGAACCACCAGTTTCAACAACTATGAAATGTGCCAGGCAGTGTTGCAGGCGGGTGACCAAGAACAGACATAGCCCTTGCATTCAAAGCCTTCCAAATGTAGGGGAGCCTCTCTACTGGGGACAAGAGTCCTAAGAGCATGGGAAAACTTGCCTGGCTTGATGGAAAGGAGGTACCCCCAAATGAGAATGAAGAGGTGAGGGATGGAACCCATCTGTAGATGGAGCAAGAGTGGGACCAAGGAGGCAATCCCAGCCCCAGGCAGACAAATGGGATGGAATAGCGCGTGCAGAAAAAGAGCATCCTGAGCTTTGCCTAAGATCTTCAGTCTATGCTTGTCTCTCCTCTGAGAGCCCAGCCTGGACGGGGTCCATGCTGTGTAGACAGGTGGATAGTTGGGGGTTTCAGCTCCAACCCACAGGGCTGCAGTGCTGGGCTGAACGTATTAATGAGCCTTCACAACCTGCTCTCTCCCCCACATCCAAAGTGGAACAGATGGGACCTGGGGCGGGGGTGTGGGGAGCGGGCAGGAGTTTCCCTATAGGGACTCCAAGGCCTTTGAAGCAAGCCCTGAGATCCGAAGCCCCTCAGAAATGAGACCCACCCAGTACCATCTCCCCGCTTTCGGCTGAGGTGGGGTCCTCAGGCTCTGGGGGGGGGGGGCAAATGACTCCCACCTTCAGGAACACAGAGAAACCTGGCCCCTCCCCCACTTCAGACCCGGGCTCCCACTCACAAGTCACGCCCGAAAGCTGATCTCCACCATTTAGAGAGCCCACTGGACTCTATCTCCACCCAAGGCCACCCAGGGCTCTGTGCCCATGGCCTCCCGCTGACCCAGCATCCAACCCTCCTACACTCCACTCCTGCAGGAGGCCTGGCTGTCCCGCCTCTGGGCAAGGGCTCAAGAGGCTGACCCAGAACAGAAGCCACACCGTGTTACCTGACTTCATGCAATCTGGGGACTCCACAACACCCAAGGTCAGAGGGGCGTGGGAGGGGCACAGTGAACCACAGTGGAGGGATGGGGCGAGCATGACAGAGAGCTGGGGGCGGGGGACCGGAGGGGGGGGAGTCCAGAACAGAGAGGGGGAAAAACAAAACCAGACTGAGGCACAAAGGCCAGTCAGGACTCAGACAGAGGGACACTCATGGAGCACAAAAGGACTCAACCAAGAGCCGGACCCGCGCATACAGGGCTGGGGACTGTCCCCAGAGGCACCTGGGAGACCCGGACACACAAAGCGGCCGGAGCCGGGAGCCCCGGCCTGGGCAACACGCAACTCACCGTCCCTGCCGCTGACAAAGGCTCCGCGCCACCGCGCCTCCCGATCCCGCCGCGGGCGCCGGTGGCCGGGCCGAGCCCCGCGCCCCGCTGCAGCCCCGGCCCGCGGCCTGCAGCCGCTGCACGGCCAGCCCCGCCCGCACGGTCCCGGGGCGCGCGGCTGAGGTCACCGCTTAACCCCTGGTGGCCTGGCTTGCACGCAGCGCCCCTCCCAGCTCCCCTAACCGTGAACCCAGAGGGGGGCGGGGCTCGGTTCTTCACTCATCCTTCTCTCTCTCCGGGAAACTGAGGCTGGGGGTGGAGAGACCCCAGGCAACACGAGGGACACACACACAAACCTCCGCCTTCCCAGTCTGGCACCGGATGCCCCTGTACACCACTGCGCCTCTCCTCTGCAGCCCTGGGAAAGATCCTGAAGACACCAGGCTCCTTTAAATTCCCCCAGCATGACCTGGAGTTCCCTGCAAGGGGTGAAAGGTGCATGGGCCTGTCCTCAGGGAAACTGAGACCCATGATGTGTTCCTGTGCAGACACAAGGCCTCTTGTGGCTGCCCTACATCCACGAGGGTTGGGTGCAGCCTGGACTCCGGTAGCAGCCAAGCAGCCCCAGGTACTCTTGGCTTGTTCAAAGAAGGGCTTTGACATCCTCACCATGCAGTCTTTGATACAGCCCCATTTCCCAGTGCCAAAACTGAGGCTCAGAAACGGGAGTCATTCGCCAAAGCCCCCAGCCCCCTAGCAAGGAGGTGGTGAATGAAGCTGAGCTCCCAGTTCTCCGGCCTTGCTTGCCTCAAGGCTGCCAAGCACTAGCTACTGCCTTCCAGGATCCCAGAGAGGGCCTCAGGATATGATGCAATTAATTACAGTTATCAGGTCACTAATTAAGATTATCCGTTGTTATTAAACACTCCCAGCTACCTCTCTATGTGAGACGTAATTCACACTCAGGCTTATCAGCAATTATTCCTGGGTTAGCAATAATGACTGAAGGAGCGTAGTGCAAAGTGCAGGTTGAAATCATCGTCTGTGTTTGTCGACATAACACCAGCAGAGGAGAGGTGTCTTGCTCTTGTTGCTGTTGGTGGTAGTAGTAGTAGTAGTAGCAGTAGTAGTAGTAGTGTGTGTGTGTTGAATACGTGTAAGTGTCTCTGTTGATGTCAGATATCTTCCTCAGTCACTCCCTGTATCTTTTAAAAAGATTTATTTTGTTTTTAATGATGTTGTGTGCGCGGGTCTGTGCATGTGAGTGCAGGCACCCACAGAGGCCAGAGACGTCAGATCCCCAGGAGCTGGAGTCACGAGCAGTTGTGAAGCACTCGGTATGGGTTCTGGGGGTCAAACCCGGTCCTCTAGAGTGAATCTCTCCAAGTCACTTGTTTTTTTTTAGAGGTGTCTCATTCAACCTGGAGCTTTTCAGTTTGACTAGACTGGCTAGCCAACAAACTCCAGCAATCCTCCTGTCTCTGCCTCTCAGTGTTGGGATTAACAGGGTCCTGCCGCTCTGTCCAGCTTTTTACGTGGGTGCTGGGGATTCAAACTCCAGTCTTTGTTGTTTTCAAGGCAAGCACTTTACTCACTGGGCCATCCTTTCAGCCCCTTAATTGGTTTGTAGGTTTGTTTGTCGGTTTGTTTGTTTGAATGCCTTCTATTGGGCCTGGGAAGATAGCTCAATGGTTAAGAGCATTTGTTGTTCTTACAGAAGACCCGGGTTCAATTTCCAGCACCCACATGGCAGCTCACAACCATTCATAACTCCAGTTCCAGGGGACCAAAGTCCTCTGCTAACTTCCTCGGGCACCACGCAGGCACATGGTGAACCTACATATATGCACGCAAAATACTCATACACACAAAATGAAATAAATAAATCTACAACTTTTTTTTTTTTTTTTTTCCGAGACAGGGTTTCTCTGTGTAGCTTTGCGCCTTTCCTGGAACTCGCTCTGTAGCCCAGGCTGGCCTCGAACTCACAGAGATCCACCTGGCTCTGCCTCCCGAGTGCTGGGATTAAAGGCGTGCGCCACCACCGCCCGGCTTAATAAATAAATCTAAAGAAAATTAAATACCCTCCCTTTATGAGGCACCTGCCTAAAGGGTTACCGAAGAAGAAAGGAACCAGAGGGGCCCAGACCCTGCCTCCTTGGCTCTTGAACTAGGAAGAGACACCAATAAACAGGCTACAGTACAGACAAGTCATGGGGCCGAACTCTCTGAAGTCACCACAAGCACTCACTCTGGTCATTGAGTGACAAATGTTTGCTGAACACGTGCTACCCTCCAGGCTCCATTGTGGGTAGATGGGAGACTTCTTGAACGAGCAGTTCCAGTCTCTGCCCTGGGGGAGCTTGCCAGTGGCTAATGTACTGAGGCCAGAAGAACATAGGGGAATGTTCCAAAAGGCCGTCAGAGCAGGAAGAACTTCAGATGTGCAGAGTGACCCCAGCTCATAGCACTAAGTGGTAGACCAGAATGTGACTTGAGGGAGCTGTCATAACCAGAGCCAAACACATGCTCTGGGTCTCTGTTCTCTGCTTTTCAGGATCGGTCCCAGCCTCCTTCAGGCTCATAAGGCTGCCATTCCCTCCCTGAACTATACGAAGACCCAGAATCCCTAGGACGCCTGCCTTGCACCCTCAACATGCAGCTGTGAACAGGTTGCTGATTTGAACCACACCTAGCTGGAGGGCACTGTGGTCCAGACTTGAAGGCAGAGATCATGATCCAGATGTCCCTTGTCCCCCTAGAGCTCTGCACAAGGTGGAAGCATCCTCAACGTTTAAGGGTTGCATGGACACCCCCAAACCCTCATCCGTTGAACCCTTGAGGCTCCACGCCGCAAACCCCCGGCTGAGAAAACAAACCGAGCTGGGAGCTTCAGCTTGCTCTCCACACAGCGCCTCTGCAGTTGCCCTTAACTGGTGGCCAACATTTGATCACAGGGAGCTTGGCCATAAAGAGCCAAGTTGCCAGATCTCCAAATACAGCTAGGAGATGGTAATGACCGGGTCATGTTCCCTGTGGTGTGGCCATGTTTTGCAGGGGACAGGCCCCTTCAACACAAATATGTTCTCTACCAGCCAGCCCTCCCTGCCAGCCCCATGAACCCTTGACTCCCAGGCCCTTCCCCTGGGAGTTAGCATTTTGACTTCAGCATCTCTCTGCTCTCTACTTTTGCCATAAAGAGGCATGCTTGACAAAGCATGAGACCACAGCCTTCACAAGCTGGGCCGTCAACTTCATTCTCTGAATGCGCACACACATCTCCCCTCCCTTCCCCCAGCTCCATATTCTTTTTATTTTTATTTGTTTATTTTTGGTTTGGATTGTTTGTTTGAGACAAGGCTTCTCTGTGTAGCCCTGGCTGTCCTGGAACTCATTATGTAGACCAGGCTGGCCTTGAACTCACATAGATCCACCTGCCTCTGCCTCTTCAGTGCTGGAATTAAAGCCATGCCCCACCACTCCCAGTGTTTTATTTTTATAGCACAGAATCTCACCATGTAGCCCTGGCTGACCTAGAACTTGCTCTGTAGACCAGGCTAGCCTCAAACTCAAAGTGCTAGGACAGGGCATGTGTCATCACTGCCCGACTCTTTTTATTTTTATTTTTTTTAAGGTTTTCAGTTGGTTGGATTTTTTGAGACAGGATCTCACTCTGTAACACAGGCTGGCCTTGAGCTCACAATCCCGCCTCTGCCTGGCAGTCTCCCAGTGCTATGATTACAGGTGGGAGATCCTGTGGCCAGCTGTTGCAATTCCACATTCTAAGCTCACAACACAGACGACAATGATACAAGGGACATCTCTGGCCCTTTGTGCTTGCTGTCTTTGTGGCCTGGACTGCACCTAGCTATTCCATGCCAAAGACAACACTAACTGCTGTTTATTATGTGACTTCTTTGTTTGGGTGCTTTTGTTTTGTTTTGTTTTGTTTTGTTTTGTTTTGTTTTGTTTTGTTTTAAGACAGGGTCTTACATAACCCAAGTTGGCCTTGAACTCAAGCTCCTCCAGCCTCTGCCTCTCAAATCCTGGGGTGGCAGGCATGTGCAAAGGCAGGCTTTGCTTTGGTGTTTTGAGACACCATCTTTTTATATCACTCAAGCTGGTCTCGAACTTGAGGTTCTCCTGCCTAGCCTCCCAGACCCTAGAATCACAGGCAGGCTTGGTGACTGCTTTCCAGGTATCTCTACATCAACAGCACCTTCTCAAATGACTCCTTCCTGCATTCCCTCCTCGGGAGTTCCCGGCTCCCAAGTAACTTGCAGTCCCCTCCAGGCACGGCAAGGAAGTTGCCCCCATAACCTGTCCTAGAGGCAGTTTCTGGAATCGGGCAGAACATCCTCCCGACACCTAGGACAGAATCTGTTGCAGCAAAAACAAACATTTGCAGGACAGCTGACCCCCTGGTGGTGGCACACGCCTTTAATCCAGCACTTGGGAAGCAGAGGCAGTGGAACTCTGTGAGTTCTAGGACAGCCAGGCTTCGCTGTCTCAAAAGAAAAAGAAGCCGGGAGGCCATGGCACACGCCTTTAGTCCCAGCACTCGGGAGGCAGAGCCAGGCAGATCTCTGTGAGTTTGAGGCCAGCCTGGTCTACAGAGTGAGATTCAGGACAGGCACCAAAACTACACAGAGAAACCCTGTCTCGAAAAACCAAAAAAGAAAGAAAGAAAGAAAAAGAAACACTGTCTCAAAAGAAGAAAAGATGACTCAGCACATGAGGGTGTTTACCTCTAAACCTTGAATTGCATCTCCAGGACCCACAGGTGGAAAATGAAAATTAATCCCCACAAGTGGTCCTCTGACATTCATACATGAGCCATGGCATGCTCACACCCACAAACATACAAAAATAAATAAATATAAGGGCTGGGCATGGTGGCACTCACCCTTAATCCCAGCACTTAGAAGCAAGAGGCAGGCAAATCTCTGTGAGTTAGTTAGAGGCCAGCCTGGTCTACACAGTGAGTTCCAGGCTAGCTGGGGCTACTTAATGAGACCCTGTCTCAAAAAAAAAAAAAGAAAAGACAGACGACAAGGGTGGCTGCGGAAGCGGGTCACTTCCCAGCCCAGGGACCACCCTCCCACAGCGGCAGGAAGGAGTGTGCACCGGAAGTCCTCACT